AATCGATGAGTTGTGAGCAATAAAATGAAAACATTGAAGTGAATGTTATAATTAAGGAAATCTAAGTTCCCACTACTGTATGTAAATCCTTTAAGCGGCTGTATTCTAGTGTTGAAGGCATTAACTTCAAGCAAACCCATCCCACCAGTTCTCATTCCATAGACACTTGTTAAAGCCTGGGAACCCCCTGGAAAACACTGCTAAATTACTAAACCCTAGGGAGTAAGCTTAAACTGCAGAATGGTGTACAGATTTTCCAGATTCTGGTTGTAAAAATTTCAAATATTTGATTTAAATGTGGAAGCTTCTCTTGGTCATTCAGGATGCAATAATCCTAAATCTCCACACACTATAAGATAAAGAGAAAAAGTACTTGAGATAAATTTTAGTGACAGCCCTTTGTGGGGCTACTCTGTTTGGCACAAACGAGAACAGACTCTGCACAGTTCGAAAAACCAGAAGTTATGACTACATCAGGCTTAAAATTGGGGTTATTAAGCAAGAGCCTATCTGATTCAAAAGCCTTATGGTGTGCTTTGACTTCCATGCGGTGGAGGTCAAAGGAAAAGAGAATTCCAGCACCAGATCATTATTATCATGCTGTGACCAAATCAGAAATGGAAACGGGAGCAGAAAGAGTTGACCAACGGCTCCCTCTCAGTCTAAATGAAGGAGTGTGGCTATAACATCACAGCAAACTATTGTTCTGATCACTTGTGGTTTCTGAAACAGAGAAGTCAGAGAGCTCTTTGTGAAGACACAAAGACATTTCTCAAACAAAAATGCAGTTTGCAGTGAAAGTTGGGAGATGTCACAGTGTGAGATTATAAGGCTTGCATCTGTCACAGAATAAAGCTTCTACACTGACGGACTGCTTAGTGCCCTGCCATGGTTAATTAATTAGAGGAAATTGTATCTGTTCACATTGCTCTGACAGGGACTAAAATTAATTGAGCATAGTGTTTCCTATTATACAAATCCTGAAAATACTGCTGCGGCACATACTGACAAAAACAGAAACAGAAATACTGTATTACACAACCAAATATAACATCAGTTACGTAGATGAGTCATTGCTCCAAATTCTGTGCCACCTTTACCAAAATCTGACCATGCTGGTAATGAGAAAATTGGGAGCACTACATCACTGCTGGATTATTTTTTTGTTACTCAGAACTTAGTTGTTTGTCTGGTCATTTTTCCCACTGACAAAACATTAGATATACTGGAAAATCCTCTCAGTATAACACAGTTCCAAAACAACAGCACCACAAACTACCCTAACCTAAATTAGCTATCTGCTCAGGATGTGACACGTTTAAACATATTATCCTCTAAATAAATAAAGCTTCGGTAGGTAATGGCTGATGGATCACCTTTGTCTCATTTTGTGACAGAAAGAACCCTGTCATCTTAATGCCATCTCAGCCTCTCATCCTCTTGTGGTTTAGAATAATACCAGAAGTTGTCTGTGCTGTCATTTCTCCAATTACAGAGGCTGCCTAATTATATTAGCAGGGTGTGAATCAGCATTGCATTAGCCTGGGTCTTTTGTTTCCAAATGAATCCTTGAATATCTGTTCCTCCTCTTCCTAAATTATGTAGGCTGCAGAGAAAATCATTAATGATAGCATTCTGGGTTCAAATTGGGGAGGCTCATCTAGCTACTCAGCATGGAGACCCATTATGTTTTAATGATATCTGCAGATAATTCCTAGGATTTGGTCAATAAATTTGAGTGAAACACAAATTTCATTTATTCCATGCAAATGTGCTACACAAAACACAGAAGTGGGGAGGGGTGGGGTAAATTCCTAAATCACATTAATTCCCAAATTCTAGGCCAGTCCAGTCCAATCTAGTCCAGGCATTGGCTACTCTCAGCTCATCTCCACAATTAATTATGCTCTATGCAGCGTCCACTCTGCTGTGAAACTCTGGTATTTGACATCACAGCCTATCAACAAATTCTCTTGTAGCAGGTTGTGATTTAAAAAAAATAAAAATAAAAAATCATTACAAAAGGGATACACTGTTGCAAAGGCACACCACACCATTTTTGCCACAGTGCTGCAGGGCAAAGCATAGTGCCATGATGATGGCCTTTTTGCAATTCAGTTTCATTCACTGATCCAAACCTACAGATACAACCAATATAAGACAATTGCAGTACTTAGAACTGTCACAGCTTCATTCACAGCAAAAGTGAAAGGTAGGTCAACATTACTAAATGTCTGCAAGGTGAATACAGGTTTGTATGAGACTTGCCTTCTTTTATGGTCAGCACTGGGTGATGTGTGTGTGTATGTCTTGCTGTTGAGGCAGACATAAGGGTATGGAGGATTTAGCTGGATTGAGGACACCAAGTTGACTCCCTGAGTACACCAACCGTCATAGTTTTCTCCTCTCTCTCTCTTTCCCTTATCCTCTCTCCTAAAACTAGTCCAGCTAAAATGCAGTCTCAGAGGATTAAAGACACTGTCCTTTCTCTTTCTTTCTTTATATCTATCTATCCATTTGGTGCTCTTTCTTTTTTCTTTTATTCTTTACCTTTCACTTCTTTGACAATTGGTCAAAAAAGGTGCTGAATTAACTATAGCTATAGCAACTTGTGTATGTGCGTAAGTGTGACCAGTGTGTGTTTTGATTAAAGCCAGCCTGTGGATTAATTAGGGTAAATAACCTCAGAGCAGCTTTCGAGATTTAAGAGTTAAAATCTACTGTAGGCTTTAAGCTGGAAATTGTAGTCTGTCAACTGTGTATGTTTCATTATATGGCCACAATTTTCTTGTCCTGCAGACTCCAGCTATTTTAAAGACGATTTTTTTGTTTTTGTTTTTTGGAGGTTATTTAGTAGTCAACACCTTATTAAAAGTCAAGCCAAGTGATTTAAGTTCATATAAACAATTTCAGAGTTGTAGTTTCAGTCCAATCCCATCAAAAGTGTGTTTTAACAGGGGCAATGATAATTAATTATTGTAAATGTCCTGCAGTTAGCAGACGGTCTAGATTCCTACTATAGTCCATTCACTGTATGTTTGCAGGCGTAATTATGGCAGTATTTTGACCCTGAACAGGGAAATGTCAATAATTACTTCTTTCTGTGGAAATCCCTGCTGCAAAAGTCAGTGGGAGACGTATTTGTTTAAAAGAGGAAGAGTTTTTAGAGTCTTCATTAAGTGTTAGGCTACTTCCCTATGTAGAACTGCATGGCTTAATTATTCATTGTATATTATTACATATAAAAATGTACGTCACAATTTCTTTGTCAAATGTGAATCTTTAAATATCTGATTTTGTCTGAGCAACAGGTCAAAAATACCCCAAAAATATTTGGTTGACAATGCAGGAGCTGGAACCAGGAGGTGTTCCGCAAAGTTGTTGACAGTTATTTTTGTGTTGATTGACTAATCGATTGATCTTGTCAGAAATTCCAGCAATTCCAGTTCAACTATGTCTAAATACATACATACATACATACATACATACATACATACATACATACATACATACAGGGGCAAAAAAGGAAAAGAATCAATAAATAAAAAGTAATGCCCATTTTCTTGCTCCATATTTCTCATATGGCCAACTTGAAAACTATTTATGTCCACTCAACAGATCAGTCATTTCACTGGTATTAGTGAAAACAGTTGACAGTTTAGCCGGCTGCTGTTCTTTCAGCACCTCATGTACTGTACTGCTGAAGACAGCTGGGTGTGACAACAGTAACGCCGGTCAGCGTTAGTGTTTACCGCAAAGGCCATCTTGCTTCTGATGTGAATTGCAGATATCCCCCAGCCCTTCTGATCTTCCCCAATAAGTCAGATGAGTGCCACATCAGCTAGAGAAAAACTAATAGGCCCTCAGTGTCTTGCTCAAGGACACATCGACAAAGCAGATGCTTGTTGCTGCAGGGGCTTGCGTCCAGGCCTCCCAATCGAAAGGCACTCTCCCTAATCACTGCACCCCCCTGCCGCTCCTGATTTTTTTGACCATGAGAATGTGTCATCAGAAATAATTACAAAACATTAAAGGCTAGAGGAACGCATTGTGAAAACACTGCAGGCAGTGTCTTTTCAACTTTGAGGATGACAAAGTCAACATGGAGATCTTTAACCAGTGGCATGTAGCTCCATCCCTCACTGACTGAAAGAACTAACACATTGTGGTTGCATATGCTTAACTGGCTCTCCCCCTGTCCCACAAGTGAGACCGGGGCCTTGTTCACTCTCCAAAACCCAGCAGCAACAAGGCAATCTGTTCTCAAACAGCTGGAGCTGCCCCCAAGAGTGCATGCAGGAGAAAGAGAGAGAAGTCTCAGAGAGAGAAGAGGTAGAGATAGCGTGAAAATGAGAAACAGGGAGAAAAACAGGGATGGAAGCAGAGAGTATTAGCGAGTTTGCTGTCATAAATAATCAATGCTTAGTCAACACAGAAAATGAGAGCGTGTGAAGGAACCAGGGTTTCCTCCCATTGCCAAATCCAAAAAGGGACAACTGCCAGACTTGCACGTCATGAGTAAACAGAGCAAAGCCAAAATGAAAAAGAGAGCTAGGGAGGCAGATAAAAAAGATAGTCAGAGTAAAAGAGACAGAAAAAAAATGGAACTGAGGGAGAAGGAAAAGATGACAGACAGAGATACGGATTGAAATTTGGAAAATAAGAAAGAGAGGAAGAAAGAAATGAAGGAGTTGGAGAGCAGGAAGAGGGCAGCAGGAAATTCCTTCGTCATTTTCCCGACCCTTTGTCCTTCTCAAAAAACTGAAATATGACAATACCCCTCCTCCTTTTTTTTCACTCTCATGCCACTCCTCCCTCACTCATTTGTTGTTTCTCTCTCTCTTTTTGTGCATGGCTGTGTTCATGTGAGTATGCGGTCAGCAATGATGACCAGATTTCAGATCATTTGGCAGTTGGTCAGCGCATTCCTCAGTTCTTTTGCAGTGGACGAGATCAAGATTGTGTCAGTACAAGCATGTGACCAAGAGACTCGTTCATACCTCATGTCTTCCAGCAGGTCACATTCGGTCTGGTGTTTAAAGTGCAGTCTTGTCATCTGATCCGTGTGTGTGTTTTTCAGCTCCTGTGTCACTTTGACCTGGAGGAAACGAAAAGATATGTCAAGTAAAGAATTTGTCATTTATTCATCTTTGCTCTGCAGACATGTCATTTATCTCCTGGCTCACATTCACCTACATAAAACCCAACACAACAATAAATCATCTCTCCTTCAGTATTGATATAATCATAAAATATCAATAATGAGATATGAAAATACATATCATCTGTGATTTTGGTTATCAGTAGAGCTTTCCTTTTCCTTTCCATAGAGGAGCTCAAAGAAAGATGAATGCCTCTACCTGTCTGAAAATCATATACACATCAACAATTAATAATGATTTTTTTCTCATTGGCCATATCAACCAACCCCAGTTAGATTAAATGTTGCATGAAATAACCAAAAGTCACACACCAATGTTACAAATGCAGCAACATTATCCAACAGGACTGCAACTAACGATTATTTTCTTTATCAAATAATCTGTTGATTATTTTTTGGAATCATTGTTTAGTCTATGGAACATCAAATTTATAATAGTGACCTTGGACTCTCAAAAGTTCTGGACTGGAGCCCAAGGTGACAACTTAAAATGTCTTGTTTCAGTCCCAAACCAAAGATATTCCATTTAAAGTCCCCATATTTTACACTTTTCCAGTGTTTTATTTGAAGTTTTGATGTCCATAAGAAGTTTTATTTGTGGTTTTAAGTACCAGAAACCATTTCAATGTAGTTTTACACCTCCTCTCTCAGGCTTCCCTCTGGAGATCTAGTAAGAACAGGTTGGCGAGCCAATCAGAAAGATTGGCTGTTTTCTGAGTGATCGGATAAAAATATTGTAAAGTTCAGGTAAACACTCGGAGAACCCGAATCCCGCAAGGTTGGATGGTGGGTCCAGGTGGCCCGGGCTTGGGGCATGCGGTGACTGCTTTGTTGTGACATCATAAAGTTACTTAAGTCCTCGTTTTAAGGCACAGTCTCTGAATGCAGGCTGTGTGCATTTCTCTGTGGACTGAACATTTTGATACTTTCACAGTATTAGTATAGAACCTAGACCTGCTTTATAATGAGAAAGGAAACTACTTCCATCCCCCAGTTAAGTTCATTGAATGCACAATGCAAAACATTAAAGACATTCTTTTCGTCATATGCACTGATAAGGTAAATACAGATAAAAATCATTATTGCTTTCTGATTTCCATGATTAAATCAGTATCTGCCACATCTGATAGACAACATCAGAGACGGATTTTTATTTTAGCTATGAATGGGTGGATTGTACAAAAGGGGCTAACTCAAGTTTGGATTGTTATGTACTTTAAGTATAGCTTCTCAGTACCAAAAAAAAAAAAATTCAGCTCCTGAGTCACTGTGGCCTACATACACAGACACACAAACATTTTAACCCCCTATCAATCTACCTGTCATCTATCTTGAGTGTGCTCAGCTCTAGAGTACCTGAGAGGAACACACACATACACACACTCCCATCAGTAATCCGTCAATGTTAACAATCAGCATCAGGGTTATGTCAGTCTTTTGGAGAAGCTGGCTGGAGGAGGCATTTTGCAGCGAAAGGTGACTGAGTCCATGGGCGTTAGGAAAAGATACAAACTATATCACTTCATACACAAATATACATTTGGGTGGTCAGACCAGGGGCTGTAACCTGCATTCATTCACAGTCTTGTACAAAAACAGACAAAGAGCTCACCCTTAATAAGAACACAAACAAGCATACACACACACACACACATATAGACACCTCCTGCCAACATGCACAGAGTCACTGTGAAGGTCATTGTGTATTGTCGGGTAAATTCCATCAGCTATTCACCAGAGTAACAGTGGGCAAATTCATGACTGTTCTGTTCAGACAAAACAATCAACAACATAACGTGCACAAAACTGGCACACGCACGCACACACACACACACACACAGACACACACACCAACACACACTGCAGAGCTCCTTTCTTTCATGTGCTGTGTCTTTGAAGATAAGGAGGGAGTGGTTCATTACATTATCGGGGCAAAATGACTTCACTCGATTTCACCTTCTATCACTCATAGGAAACCACAGGGATAGAGGGGGAGAAGGGGAAGGGCAAAAGGGTGATGGGGAGACAAAGTGAGAGGAAGAGCGGTTGAGGAGAGGTTATGTATGAGAGAAGGGGGAAGAATGTGAAGTGTGAATTAGAGTAAGGAGGGAGAGAAAAGAAGATGGCGAGACTGAGAAAGACAGACAGTCAGTGACAGGAAGAAGACGAATGCGACAGTGAAAAAGATTGGACATAGAGAAGTTAATTATGAGGCACAGTGGAAGAGAAATTCAGTACGTTAGAGTTCATGTTGAAGGAAAAGGGTAGAGCTGCTGTAGTGATAGCTGATGCAGCAGGTAGCTCTATAATACTGCTAAGAAAGTGGAGCCTAACCTAAACAGCAATATGCATATTTTATGGTTTTGATGTAAATATCCCACCTGTAATGTGTGTGTACGTATGCCTGAGAGAAGAATAACGATTAACTGAGATTAAGTGATGACAGGAAATCTATATCAAGATAAATTATGAGATTCACCCAAACAATATATGTACATTATTACATGTATGTCCTTGGTATTTCGTGTTGGTTGACATCTGATATGTGCATCCTGTTAAGTTACAGCATGACAAGTTAAAGATACTGGTTGGTTGAACTTGTGGTGAGATGTCACTGTCGACAATGTCAGTTTAAAGTGTTTTGTTGTCGTGTCTTCCCATCATCCCAGGATGTGTCTGAAAATGCAAAGTATAAAGAGGAAATAACTGATAGATGAATATATACTATTATTATATCTAAAAAATAACATTTATGTGGCAACATTTTGCCTTTTTTCAACCTCCTCAGCACCTATCTTTAATTTCAGCTGCATAAAACAAATATATTAGAGTCGGCTGTATGTGTAATGCTGGCACAGAAATTATTAGTATCCAGCAGCCAAATCCTGATACACTGTCTGTGGTGCTGTGAGCTGAGTATACTGAGTGTTCCAGCCACATTGGCAGAGGGTAACACATCAGTATTTTACCTTTTCTGTTTTATTCTCGTAAGTATTTTCACTGCAAACTGAATTGGAAAAACACTGACAGCTGACAAATGAGATATAACAAAATTAATATGACTTTAATGGTGCGCTTGCTCACACACAGTGCAACATGACAACCATAGTGGTCTGCACAGCCTCTATAATGAAAGGACCTGTTCCTGTGTGTGTGTGTGTGTGTGTGTGTGTGTGTGTGTGTGTGTGTGTGTGTGTGTGTGTTTTACAGACATGACATGACATGTTCAAGGCCAGTCTGTGTCTAGAAACCCAGAGCATAAATGGCACTGGGGGAATATGTGGTAATTAAGAGAAAACTGCACAGAGGTTCACAGCAGGGTAATTGGCTCTCATGCATCTATTTCAGGACAACACACACACACTCATAGAAACCAATGGACCAGCAACTTCCCACACACACACTCACACACACTGGGTACCAAGCTATAGGAGACTGTGGTCTTCTATCAGCCCATACAGAATCAATAACCAGCATGCCTTCTCTTTCTGTGCGTGTGTTAGCTGCTTTTGTCAGCTCAGCCTCTGATGTGACCACGGATGTATTGAAGGTCTTCCCTTGAGACAAGAAGCATCACAACGTGGAAAGACGACAGCTTTTGTTATGCTGTCTAAGGGACTGTTGTCACAGCTTCACGATATATAATTGAGCAAAATAACATCGACGCTACACTAAATTGACGTTTAATCGTGGACTGTATTAATTGCTGAAACGATACTAGCTATAATGTTAATGCCATAAGTTAATATGCAAATGGTATTTTCTTTTTCGTTTAAAGTTATGTCTCCTACAGGACATATTAAAAGGGAAACCGAAATATCATAATTACTTACGAATATGTTCCGATGCTTTGTATGAAACGCTTCATGTTAGCCCACCTAGCGTTTTCTAGCTAACGTTATTTGACGTTTGACGGTTCACGGTACAACGGCTGGACAGATGCATATTAATGTCACTAGGTTACTACCTAACCTAGCTAGCAAATGCTGCTAATGTTGGCTAGCAAATGTCTTTCCCCCCACTTTAATTTACTAAAGCCTTCAGCATCAGACGCTGTTCGTGTGGTTAGTAAAACACAATATCCGCATGTAAGATTACTACACAGTTATCTGTCATTGTCTGTACAGCCCAGCTTAGACATAACGGACTCTGGAAATCACTCACCTTCCTCGGCGGCGGCTGCATTTTGGAGTATTGACATGAATGGTATTTCCCTTGTGAGATGTATTGTAATTCCAAGAGGAAATCCAAATCAGTGTGGGGCTAATATTGTGTTTCCTCAAACAAAAATCCTCCCCTTCAGACGACAGGGAGGAAAGACGGGAGTTAGATTTGTACTCCGGCGGCCATGATTGATGATAAATGGCTAGTTTATACAGAGCAGAAACTGACGCTACGAGGAGAGACTGAACACACTTGTGTTGGTTACTGCCACTACTAGAGCACTAGTGTGTACTGTACTGTGTTGTGGAGCAGGGGAGCAAACAGGCGGAGAAGAAAAAGCCGAGGGAAGGGATGGGGTGGTATTAATGGGGTTCCCCTTCAGCAACTAAGGCCAACAGCGCCCCGATGTGGCAAAGATCGGGATAGCACCTCGTCTGTGCTCAAAAACATCAGGAGCAGAGAGACATCCTTTTTGTTCTGCCTTTTTCTCGACAGTAACCCTGATGAACACGTATTCAGAACAGTTTAGAACCAAAGAGCTAGAAGGATAGTAAATTAAACCTGGGGCCATTAACCACTATGCATCAATGTTTTCCCGCGCTGCCTCAGCTTGCTGAAGGAGAAAAAGCAAAAACCTGACACTGGCAGGAGGAGGCTGCGTCCTGCAGACCTGCATAGCAACAAGAAACCGCAGTCGATCAAAGAAAAATCGATCATGGAGTAAGACAAAAAATAGAATTTAAAACAGAAATAGACCGGGGAAATGGAAACAAACAAAATACACCTCTCCTCTCTCAAATGCGGATTGTTTTAAAAAATGATAATAAATACAAAAAATATTATTTTTAGGCTTCAGCTGAAATGATGATATCAAACATCAATAAAAATAAAGATTGATAAATCTAAATGACTGATTTATAATGTATCCTGCTATTATTAATTAGACAATTGTGTACTTTTCAAAAATCTGTGGGGTATCAGGGAGTAGACCAAAAATAGGGTCACTGGGTTCATTGGAAGTGGGTGCTGAGTGAACAATTAAAGGAATACATTACAATGGAGGGGGTCTGAAACCCTTGTAATGAGTTGGCACCAGCAGCAGCTGGTTGTATACAGTGAGTAGATTTTGTATGTTGGGTGTGGTTGCTCATGGTTTAAAATTAATCAGGTATTAAAATATTTGTGTTGTGGGATATGTCAGTATAATGAGAGATCATTATACTTGGGTGACCAGTGTAATATAGGAATTTAAATAAACCTCTCAAGGTTAAAATGTACTTGTTACTGATGGGAGAAATGCAATCAATGTTATTGTTGCTCAGAAATATAAGTGCTCACACTGCTGGTGCCAGACTACAGCTGATTGTTATATGGTTGGCAAGTTTCAAAGCAGCAATGTCTTACACAAACAAGTGAGTGGTAATAATACAGTTTTTGACCCCCCACCCCCAGAAGCATGAATTTTGGCCAGACAGATTGAAGTAGCTGGTAGGGCAAGTATTTTACTTCATGCCTCCTACGTGCTATAGCCAAGGTTAAGGTTAAGGGCTGTGTAATCATTAATACACAAAGTTTCTGGAGCAGGTAAGCCATTAAGTATTCTTTCTCACCTTTCTTCTCAGTATGACACTTTAAAATAACGCACGCATATTCAAATACATGCACACACACACACACACACACACACACACACACACACACACACACACACACACATTCAGAGAAAACAAATGTATCTCTTTACGCCCACACTCATAACTTTCTGCCAGCAGCACAGAAGAAAATGGCTGTCAGTCATTGTTGGATCATATTGTTTTTGTTAGGATCCTGCCAGGATGTTTATGGTTCATGATTTCTCTTATGATTTGACATAGGAGCATCTGTATTCCTTTGGCCAAACAGAGGTAAGATTTTTTTTACAGTGAAGTGCTCATAAGTACTAAATGCATCATACATGGCTTGTCTCAATTCAGGAGCTCTATGTTTGTGTGAAACGCAAGAATTTGCAGGTTAGACATTCTATGTATATTGTTTATTTGCTTGTTTTTGTTTTTTCATATTGAATCTCAGTATGCATATCAGGCCCACTGTATCTTGTTGCAGATACAAACTATAAATATATTTTTTTTTGATTGCATGGCAGGAAAATTAAATATAATATTCTTTGCTTGCAAAATCTTTATGCTAATAGATGTGTGTTATTTGTACTAAGATTTACCTGTCCTCAAAAGGCATTTTCTCTCTGATAGAATAAATGGTAGAATAAATCAATTAATTAATTAAATAATAGTTAATTACAATAAGAATTTGTTTTAATCCCCCTGCTTTATTAAAAGATAGATTACAAAGAAAAGTAATTGTTGATAATTATGTAGGCCTGAACATATCACAGTAATGATTACATTTATTAGTCTATGTGGGATTTAATAAAAACACCACTATGTTTTTTTCTACTATAAGAATAGTAAGAATAATGTCTTTCTGAGTTTAAGAAACAAAAAAAATAATAATTTGAACACGTTAAGCTGGTGACAGACTTGTTTTGCTCACTGTCCATTTGACTAACAGATTGTCAAATGGACAGTGAGCCTCAGGCCCAACTGCTCACATACAGTAGTCCTATACAGGCTACAGCTTGTCAGACAAGCACACACCTCAAGAGGCTTTACACTCACTCAAGTATCTGACTTAGGCATTCAGCCATAAACAACACCAGATACACTCTGTACCAACTCGACTCAAAAGAATGAGGATACATTACACAGGATGGTCAACTCAGAACAGTCTTTGAAAAGAAATAGCACTCATACAGTGTAAGTAATTTCAATTCTTCTAGAGGTTTTGCCTTTTTGGATGGGTGCTTTTTAGTATATTTCTTGGGATACCACAGGAATATTTTTTGAACAAAAACTAAGACCAATTACATTATTGCTGAAAAGTCAGTAGTGCTCAGCATGCTCAGCATGCACACAGCAAGTCAGGAGTATTTGTGGGGACTACAAAAGGGGCCACACTGTCTGAGGTCTGGTATCTGTTAAATTCAACCCGGGGCTGTTTTGAGGAGAAAAAAGGAGTAAGCGAAGGGTACAGAGCGAGCAAGAGGCAATGTTTTTGATAAAGATAAAATAATGTCAGAGAAAGTGCCGTAGGTTAACTCGTCTGTAAACTGAGAAACCAGTAAGTCTGGTATCATACTGTCTAATTTGCATGTAAAGTTGTAAAGGCATCATTTGTGTGAAGTTACCTGACAGGTTTAAACATGAGTTTGCGGGTAAACAGATTTACAGATGAGTAGAAAAATGGACTAAGGTTAAAATATGGAGCATGCATGCCAGTGAGTAACACACAGAGAAAGATTTGAACAGGGTTTCAAAACAGGGTCTGGTTTGAGTTAAAAAGTTACTCCTCTGTCTCTCCCTCTCACTGTCCCGAGGTTTTGGAAACTTTGACATGCCGTGCCAGAATGAGTGCTGTTTTTCTGCGTGAGAACACAGCTGCACTAAAAGTTTTGTAGAAAAAAGTTGTCGCCACACAAGTCTGCACAAATGTGAGTGTTCTGCAGCTCAGATGTGTTAAAAAACTTATGTTTTTATTTTCGTTTGGAGGGGAGGAAAAAAATACAAAAGGGCTTGGCATGTGTCATTAGTTAAACCTGCTGGGCCAGGTGGTGGAACAGCACAACTTGTTATAGACATAGAGCATATACTTGTCTCCGTATCATAAACATAAAAGCCACATCTTGCTTTAATTGTATACTTACTTACACTCTGATTCATGTATGCAGCCAGAAAAGTTGTTTAGGATAGCCTATTATAATTAGATATGCTTTAACTTTTTAAATATGCTTTAATATCCTCTCAATTTCTCACAATTATCTCATTTACTCAACCACCCACTCAGAAAGAAAAGGGGGATTAAAAGAAGTCAGCATTAAAAAGATTTGCTTTGTATGAAATGTACAATGACGTTAAAATGCCATGACTCAAGCTATAAGCGGAATTGTGTAAATTCGATTGCGAAATCACACTGGGTTAGTCAATTATACTAGAGCACAGCATGACTTATACAGGACTGTGCTGCTGAGGCATGCCAAAGTGAATGACTTGGGGCATCCTAAAATGTAATCTACGTTGATCTCACTTTCTTACTGTTGCCTCTGTCTCCACACTCTCTATTTCTGAATGGATGGTAACCTCTACATAGTTGTGACTTACTAAATGCATGTGGTTCAAATGCTGGACACTGGAACAAATGGTATGATATAACATTGCATTGAATTTCATAATCCTAAACTGTTCTTATCTTTCCCCCAGGTGTTCCCACAATCAAGATGGCTACCTTTGCCAACGACAACACTAACCAAAGCAATCGCAGTGCCTTCTACTGTGAATTTAATGAAGATTTTAAATATATTCTCCTTCCTGTCAGCTATGCCCTGGTCTTTGTGATTGGCCTGGCGCTGAACGCCACAGCGTTGTATGTGATTGTGTTCCGCACAAAGCGCTGGAAGCCATCCACTATCTACATGTTCAACCTGACGATGTGTGACACACTCTACATCTTCACTCTGCCCTTCCTCATCTATTACTATGCTGATGAGAACGACTGGCCCTTCAGCGAGCCATTCTGCAAGCTTATACGGTTCCTGTTTTATGCCAATTTATATGGTACAGTTTTGACATGGTATAGACCCAACATCTCACAGTTATGGCAGTATGATCACAGGACGATTTGATATGATACAATATAGCACAATGGAGAATATGAGATATTAGACAATACGATACGATATGATACGACATGCTACGATACAGTACAATACACTACAATATGTAAACATACCATATGACACTAGGCTGCAATATGTAACAGTTCAGTACAATATAGAACAAAGGAATACAATACAATATAATTGATATAAAACTGTCAAAGAGCAGCAGGGTATTATGAAATAAGATATAATACAATAAGAAGATATTATGGTGCAATATGATACATACTATGCAAATTGATACGATGTTACGATAAGATACACTGTATTATGGTGTGACATGATATATAATATGCCATAGATTCCATTAGGCGTACATTTATTTGACCTGACAACACAATGAGACACAAGGGGACACTCCACAACACATTATGTTATGAAACAATACAATTTGATAAACAGGTGGTAAAATAAAACAAATTCAACACAATTTACAACAATAGTTAATCATAAACTCACTCTGGTAGGTTCCATACTGTTCCTGTGCTGTATCAGTCTGCATCGGTTTGTTGGCATCTGCTATCCAGTCCGCTCCCTGTACTGGGTCAGCGCTCGTCGGGCCAGGCTGGTGTCTCTGGCAGTGTGGGCCATTGTTTTATTCTGCCAGGCACCTGTTCTCTACTTCTCAAGAACTAGGTGATTCAAATTTGTATAACTGTCTTCTTTCTTTCTCTCTTTCTTTTTCCCTTTATTTCCCCTTTACTTTCTACTGAAAGTGTGTTAAACTGTGGACTATTGATTTTTGTGGCACACCAATTTTGCCAAGTGTCTTATCTTAGGGTTCCTTAATGGCACACGAATGAACGATCACCCTGCTGGCTAATAAGTTTACATTTTATCTCCTTTCTTTCAACTCTCCTATCTTCATCTGTGGTTCAGTGCCAAACAAGGTAGCAATTGCATTTAATTATCTGAAACTACTGTAATGTGTTATCTCCTTTGCCAGGGATATGGACACTGAGCGGATCTGCTACGACACCACCAGCCCAGAGCTCTTTGATGACTTCTTGGTATACAGCTCAGTTGTGTCAGTGCTCATGTTCGCCCTGCCCTTCATGGTGGTAATGGTGTGCTATGGCCTCATGGTGCGGAAGCTTCTAGAGCCTAGCTGTGGATCTGAAGGGGGAGTTGAAGGTGAGAGGGGAGGCCTGGCAGCCCGACGATCCAAGCAGAAGTCAGTGAAGATGATTATCATCGTGCTGGCAATGTTCATGCTCTGCTTCCTCCCTTTCCACCTCACTCGGAGTCTTTACTACTCTTTCAGATACCTAAGGCAGGTCAATCCAGCCCAGGTGAGGACAAACACATTTTTCTTTTATAATAAATGTGTTACAATGGCTTTAAAAGCAGTGTGTCACATTTTTATATGTTCATCAGGTCAGCTGTAATTTGCTGGAGGCCTCCAGTATTGCCTACAAGGTCACTCGACCTTTTGCCAGTGCCAACAGCTGTGTGGACCCCATCCTTTACTTCCTGGCTGGGCAGGATGTCCGCAGTAACCTCACCAAGAAGAGCAAGTCATCCACATCAAAATCCAAAAGTGCGAGCGAGTGCTTGACTACACACCTCTGATCCAATACCTGAAACTATCTTGGTAAAAATAGAAAAGGTTGTGGGGGCTGTACTTATTGTCAAGTTTTCTCTGTGACACCCAACAACTGCCTCAGGGCGCTTTTCAATGTAAAATGCCAGTTGTGTGTTTAGCAAGCAGAGGACGTCTGACTTCTCTATGACGAAGTAAGTGTGTTTCCAAGACATAATTAAACCTTCCATATTGTTCTTTAAGCAAATGTAAGTGGTTTTTTTTCTTCCTTTTTTGTTTCATTTATGAAGACATAAACAAAAATGAATGTGCATAGTATTTATTTAGAAATTTCACTGCAAGTAAATAAAAACCAGGGAAACACTTTTTGAATTTTAAACACAGTCAAGTGCACTGTATTGAAATCTCTGTCTTTAGGCAGTTGAAATGCATCTGTTTGAACAGACGAAAAACATAGACAACACAGTTATGATGACAAAAGATTATAAATATTCATCTGAAACCTGCTGTGCATTCATGACTTAAAGCAATTAAAGGATTGAAAGATAATGTTAATGGTAATGTTTCAAAAGCTATAATGTATTGAGAGATCTAAAGAACATGGTGCTTAAGAGCTGTGGTTTTGTAAATTTTTTTGACTGGACAGCTGCTGCACATAATGTTTTTGTGTAGGAGCAAGTTTTCCTCAGCTCACCTTCCTCTGACAAAGTGTCTGTGTTCCCTCTCTGTTTGGTCACTTTTAAGGCTTGTTTTGAATGTACTGGAGTGGTGTGTGTGTGTGTGTGTGTGTGTGTGTGTGTGTGTGTGTGTGTGTGTGTGTGTGTGTGTGTGTGTGTGTGTGTGTGTGTGTGTGGAAGTAAAAATCATGTTGTAATAAATATGTACAAATTTTGACAATATGGTTGTGGTGGTACTTTTTTTCTTATTTGTAACATGTACTACACAGGACTTCTAATAATCTAATTTGTGTGAAGCCAGATTCTTGCATAATAGCCATGAGTATTACTATCATTCTAAAAGACATTTTCTTGGGAAAGCAGGTAGCTTTTACTTTTCTTTAATGTCACTGTATTTATTTACTTGTCTCTGATGGTTAGAACAGTGCAGCTACTGAGAAGTGGTATTTTAAACCAGAGCAATTAGCTGTGAGGTCAGTCTATCGGTTATGAGTTTGGAAAGTAGTACCCATATTTTGTGGGAAGAGCAACCCCAGGTTTAGTTTAGCCGAGCCTCTTGCTAATCTCATTTGCACTAGCTACACTTGATTTACATCACCAGCGGTCCTTTCATTGAATAAACACCAGACCACCACTAGGGGGAGATACTGCCTAACAAACAAGACAGGCTATTGCTATTTATGCTTTAGGAGTTTCAACTCATTTTTGACCAGACATTCTCTCTCACACACACACACACACACACACACACACACACACACACACACCCCAATTACACACACCCATAACTCACACACTGACAACAACAGCAAATAAACAATAGAAAGCCACAACTCTATGTCAACAGGAAAAACTGCAAACAAGACAGTGTTTAAAATACATCCCTTCTTTATTTCAAGAGTAAAAACATCATACAGAAAAATGTAATATTATATAAATGCAATCTACAAAGGTCATGAAATGAATGTTTTTTTATCCTTCTTACCTACAAGCAACACTTCAGCTTGAAAACATTTAATAATAATCCTAATAGGAGTAAGAATAGTAATAAGAAAAAGCTCAAATAAAAACATGTAATTGTAACTTCAGCCAATAAATATCCAGTCCTCCAGACATGTTGCCATATTGCTTGTAACAACATAATGAGAAAATATGAAAATGAGTAGCTAAAAAACCTCTATGATTATAGTACACTCTTCAAACCCCATGAGGATGTAAACTAAAGCCAAGTGAGCTGCACGACTTAGAGGCATCTCAACCACCAATCCTCTGCAGCCACTGGTCGGCTTATTAAATGAAACTACATAGAATAAATGTGTGTGTGTGTGTGTGTGTGTGTGTGTGTGTGTGTGTGTGTGTGTGTGTGTGTGTGTGTGTGTGTGTGTGTGTGTGTGTGTGTGTTTGTGTGTGTGTGTGGTTTCTTACACTTTGAGATTGCACGACTGAAGTGTGGCTAGGTGTATTTTGTCTGTGTGTGTGTGTGTGTGTGTGTGTGTGTGTGTGTGTGTGTGTGTGTGTAGGTTTTAAAAGTTCATGATTAGAGTAGAAAACCGTAACAGTTTCACTAAAATGTTGCACCCAAATGGTGAGAAATCAGATACTTCATGTTGATCTTAACCAGCAATTCAGTAAATATACATGATGGTGTGTGAGGAGTTTGCTCGTGTTTGATTGACGGATTACAAAATGTCACTCACTGGTGCAGTGCTGCCATTACAGGAGATCTAATATATCACCTCATACATACTGTAATGTAAAATTATAAAAGCCAGGTATGGTCCGTTTCTCTATACCCACCCATATTTACATATGTACATTAATTTACATGTTCTATTCTACAAAACTGAGATTTACCTACATGTCTACTTTTTCACCCCAGGACCCAAACGACAGTTGTCACCCTATAACTGTCATTGGGCTGCAGTGTCATTGAAAATGCAACAATTATATTGAATTTTAGAACATTTTTTCTTCATAATACTTTCTGTAGTGCTACTGTAGTCTTTAATCAAGTGTCATATGACCCAAAATCATTTAGGTTTTTATTTCAAATAAGCCAGATCGGGTCTGTTGGTAATGAAAACCATACTCTTAGTTCATACGGCACTTGGCTGCAGACAGCTTGGTTCGATGTTTTCTTCTTAATGTACACACTTATTGTAAGAATGACAGTTGCCGTCTGAGTTTTGTGTCTTATATCAGTTATGTAATGCACAGTGTCAGAGTGAGTTCACGTAGATGTGTCTGTCTACATGTGGAATATGTCACATGTGTTTTACCCCTGTGTCTGTTTTTTTTTTGGTTTTTGGTTTTACATGGAAGCGCAATAGCAGGGGTTAAGAGTGCATTTGTTTTTTATCCAAACTTCCTGTCTTTGATTTCTGCCTCTCATCCTTCCTTCTACTGTCAGTTAATGATAATTGGTCATTTCAAAGCTACAGAAGAAATCTTTTCACTCTGTCCCTGTGTGTATCCAACAAGCTTTTCAACACTGTTTTGGGACAGTGAAGCAGCTCGAGTTGAACTCTTATGATGGTACATCTGTTACATCTGTAAAGTACAATATTTCTTTACATAATAATAAATACAGTTATGTTCCTCTTATTGCATAACTAGATATGACTTCGTTCAGCAGGAAGTGGTTCTTGTGGTCTCCTGGAGTCAGCTGCGTAAAGATACCTTCCCTGCTGTGAAGTCGTCAGCGGATGATGAGGTCATCTTCAGTGAGGTAGCATTATCGTACAGCGTCTCTCTGTCTCTTCACCTGAAAGAGAAAGTGAAAATGTCAAGGAGGAAGCACATGGAGGACATGAGCAACAGAATGAGAGAAGGACTGAAACACACACAACCAGATTTCAACCAGAAGTTATTATGATCACTGAAACATTTAAGCCATTTCTTATCAAACTGATCTCATTAGTCCTTATTTTGGCTGATTTTGAAGAAGAATTTCCAACTCAAGAATAGAGCATGGCAAAATGGACAGATAATTTTCACAGTAGGCAGGGGTACATGATTATTGTAATAATGCTGACTCAGCTCTGACTAAGCACAGAGAGTGTTGGCACACGCTCATGACCAGTCAGCTGGAAACAGAAGTAGCTCATTTCCCAAATCATTTTAGAGGCACTCCTTAGTCAACCTGATCATACTGTTATCCTAATTCCAGTCACACAGACTACACAATTCAGTGTTGGCCAGAAGAACTGTTATCAAAAATCAGCAAGAAGAGAGAGAGAGAGAGAGAAAGAGAGAGAGAAAGAGAGATTGTACCTCCTGATGCCTGATGATGAAGAGAAGTGTTTCCCACCAAACAGGGAGTTCCTCTGCTCCTGGGATGATGTCTTGGTTTCCATGGAGACAGGCTTCTGCTCGGGAATTTGAGCAACTTGAAATCTGTAAATTGAAGAAAAGCTATAAAGCTATAATCATCGTTGCGCTCGGACATGGCAAGCGTGGTCATATGACTGCCAATGTAACAGCTAGAAGTCCTGCTTTCAAATGAAAAAAGTAAAAGTACAGAGGTAAGACCAAGCACTGCCAGTTATATTATTATACTTTCTAAGCAGCACTTTATTTTTGTAGCTAATTGAGGAAGGGCTAATTTGAAATCATTTTTATATTGTTGGGTTCTTCAATCAGGAACAATTAATCATATTTTATATGATCATATGTTTTGTATTTCAAATCTTTCAGTATTTTGATTGAGCAACTCTTTCCTACTTAAGAATTTTGCACCAGTTATTTCATTTTATCTTAAATGAAAATGTGAAAAAGTAACAATATGTTTTCATTGCATGTTTCAGGTCAGTTGTGTGTTGGGTAAGAAACAATATGAATGAGTCTCACCTCCCCACAGACAACACTGTCAGCTCTCCCTCCTTCTTCTCCCTCACTTCATTCCTTTCTACTTTTTCCTGTACAGTATTTGGCACAACAGCTTGTGTAAGGGTGTCGACACACACTCCCCCCAGCAGGGGGCTCTTCTGCTGGTCGGTGGATGTGTCCAGGGAGGTCAGGATGAGGGTCTGAGGGGGCTTCAGGGGATCCTTGAGGGAATCCAGAGGAGGTATGAGAACGGGGGGCCATTTCCTCTGAGCGCAACGGGAGCAGCGGTAGCCATGTTTGGGGGCCAGGCCAGACAGGCCAGAGATGGTGTGGAGGTGGGACTGATGGGGGCAGAGCCTGGGGAGGGAGCGGAATGGCGAGAGGGGAGACAGCATTGGGAACCTGGGAGGAGCAGTAAAGGAAGAGGAGGGAGGGAACAAATGATAAATGATTAAAACATTGTAAAACTTCAACATAGGAGAAACAAAATAAATCTGTGTGACACTTAAGTAAGTGAAATTTAAACCTTGAATAGGTAAAATTTCTTATGTACATCTAGTATACAGTATATTAGAAATTCAAACTCATCATCATTTCTGAAAATGCATATATATCCTGACACACACAATATCCCTCATCTTGGTCGTAAACAGTATATATCTATAAATCTATATGAAATTTTTGTACTAACTTTATTAGTCTAATTTACTAAATGCTAGTCTTGTCAGTCCAGACCATTTATGCAGATAGTTCAAAGTGGGGCTGCCCCTTTTGCTTAAATGATGTGTAAAGGAAAACAGAAATGTTAAGTTTTATTTCTTCATGTTGCGCTCTGTGCATGTTCAACCCAGACTCTTTAGTTTCTATCTCTCCATTGTTCTTTTATGCAGAGAAAGACAGAGCGAATGAGGTGAATACAGCTGTGCGTCCCTGTGTTATTCTATTGAGTGAGTGACCTGTAGTGACCCCAGATAACCTCTGAAAAACCTACCATCACACACACACAGAGGATTTGAAAGCTTTCCAGAACTGTGTGCTTATCGTGTGTGTGTGTGTGTGTGTGTGTGTGTGTGTGTGTGTGTGTGTGTGTGAGAGAATGTTCTCGAATCTAAAGCTCACATGTTTCAGCATCCCATTGAGCAGCAGCACACTGCCAGAGGCCCCTGAGACCTCTCACTATTGTAGATGTGGCTCACATGCTGCAGTGCATCGGATCCAGTTACCATCATATAATATTGAGAGATAAGATGAACTTTAATGACTCTGTGGGGGAAACTGCAGCGCAGCAGCTCAGAATGGAGGGAAGTTTGGACAATACAAATGATTCCTCTATGTCTTCCATCACAGACAGTCTTCAGCAGAGTACCGTGGTGAAGACTGTGGTATGAAGCAGTATGTTACTGGGCTTGTCAGATTAACTACTGACTACTTGAGCAAATTTAATGACAGCAACTTATGGCAAAAGTTCCAACCACAACTACACTACTTCAAGCTGTGTGACAGCCAATGAACTCAGTGACAGAGTGTTTAGGCCTCATGACTCAATACACAACTGTGTGAGACGTTCACTTCAGCCATGTGGGAGTGACTCAGGTCCATGGCCTGATGTGTGCTACGTGGAGCTGACTTTTGAATACATTATTTAACATGTTTATAGAAGAGGTGAAAAAAAGCTGTATTATATTATTGAAATGTATGAAAGTTGAACAGATGGGCATACAGTAGTACAGAATTGTAATCTAATCAGATCTACTCTTGTCATACTTTGGATGAAGATTTATTTATTATTATTAACAGTTTTTTATTCAAATTTTCAATTCAAGCTCAATTCACCGTTTAGAACTGTGTTTGGCATAAAGTTTACATGAATCAGAATCAAAGGCATAGCTATATTTACTGCAATTTCACCTATGTGGCCCAAAACCTAAAAATTAATTTATGAAATTAAAAAACTAAATTGTTGTTTATAATTATACACAGGTTCTCCAAATACAATAATCATTTGCTATTTTAAGTTAGATTTTTCATTTAAAAATTGACTTTTCTGAACACTATATGAAAATAAACAACCATTGCTAATTTCAATTACAACAGGAATGTAAATCCACAATTCTGGATTAAACTTTTTCAATTAAACTGTTTTCTAGATTTAGAGAACACAATGGATATGCATAGACTATAAAACATATACTGTATGTTTCATACATGTGCATCTGATAAAGGCCAGGTCTGATGAAGAGCATTGCTGAAAAGGCTCATACAAATCTTTTGTTACAGTGTTTTATATACAGCATATCTACTGGGACATTTAGTCATGTCATGCTATTTTTCATTAGATTCTCATTAAAACTATGTGCAAATATAAAGGTGGTGCAAATCTATATTTATATAATTATTCTGTCTGCAACAATCAAATCTACACAAACACCCATACACAGCTTTTTTTATTAGAGCCTCTGAGCAAGAGCCTCCCTCCAAATTTTTCACTGCCTTTCTCCTCTCCAGCAAACTTTCCTTGCCCTCATGCAGGAGCAACATGACAGCGCAAAGGTACATGATGATTTGTAGGTGTGTGTATGGAAGTGTGTGTGTTTGTGTGTGTGTGTGTGTATTGTCATACTTGATTGAGGAGCTTTTGCTCATGGCCATCTGTTTGCTCTCGTACTCCAGCAACAGTTCCTCCAGTGCAGCAGCATTTTCTGAAACAGACACACACAAATACTGTAAATTCCTGTCTGGGTGTAGGTTTTAGATCATGTCAAAAGTTTGCAAATAACATTCATCTTTGGGCTTATTGGGAATTGATTGGGTAAAGTTAATTTCTCTGGGAAATTTTCAGGTACAATGACATGACTAAAGGGTTCAGTGTGTGCTACACCGTCATTTATCTTCTAACTGTTGTATGGATCTTACAGTAATACCCAGCAGATGCATATTCCTTACTTTGTGATATATAAACACAAACTGGAAACATTTGTCACTGTTATAAATTGTATGAATGTGTTGTTGGCAATGTTAAAACTTGTACTTGCTGATTATCATATCTCCAGTCCAAGAGCTTAGCTAACTTTTGTTTTACAGTCTGGAAACACGACTTTTCTCAGTTTCTAACGTCAACTATCAATCCTAGATGGAAAGAAAAGGAACTGCTGAGTAGGCAGCAATACAGACACGTCTTTGGTTGTGTGTCACGTGCTGTGACGACACTGTGGACTTGTGTTCCCCTCTAAAGCCACAAGGAATGAAATAACTGCGACCACAAGCTTATCAGTAACATCACTGTTGGTATTCACTTGACACGTACCTTTCTTTTCCGTGATGAGGCGAACCAGCACACTGATGGTGTCTTCATTCAGGTCATCAGATATGTAGGGACAATTGTTACCTAGAGCGAGCAAATGAGACAGAGACAGAAAAAAATGACCCTTTTTCAATTATACAGCATATTTGCATTTTAGGTTCTGGATTCTTGATCCAGTGTATTACCATTTTTCTCCACATTATTACATACAAATAGCACAAATACCAAACAATGTCATAGGCATATATTTACATGTATTGAAAAATGTAAAATAATGTATTTGTAAAAATAATTTGTTTTTTCTATATAATATGGTGTATGTGAATGCTGGAAAATATGTGCTAGAGGTTCTTAAAGAAATATAACAATATACTGGTAATGTGCACTCGGCTCATGCATATACATTTTAAAATACATTTCAATATAAACTCAGTTTCCAGTTTTTACCTAGCTAAAAGAAATATAGCCTAATATGACAGTAATACAACAGGACCTCTTCTGTTATGTAGCCTACCTAAAAAACTGACAGCTCTTTATATAGAGATTGGTTTGCTTTAACTCGGTATTACATCAGCTTCACTGCGACCTGTCAAAAAGAGACTAAATAAGGACGTACACTTCGCAACCTGCAGAGCCAGCACAGTTCACACTGTGCATGTCACTGCTGGAATATTGTGCCTCGGTACACGATGGGACTGATAGGGATGGATGTGGATGACTGAACAGCAAAGAATAGATATGCCTCCATGGTAACCCCCACCCCCTCACTCGACCATCCCATAATAGCACAGCACAGAGAGGCAGCTGAGAGGAGAGCGATGAGGACGTGGGGGGTCCAGAATAGCTCAGTCAGCGATCACGCTCCATTCAGCACTGTTGGAGCACACAGAGCTCTGTGTGTGTGTGTGTGTGTGTGTGTGTGTGTGTGTGTGTGTGTGTGTGTGTGTGTGTGTGTGTGGTGTGATGTACCAGACCGCCAATGCAAGGTAACTTTGTGTATCTGTAAATTAAAGAACAAAATGTGACTGTATAGATTGCATTTGTGCCTATGTGTTGTGAATGTGTGTGTATATTTTTTGTCTTTTCTTGCATAAGCAGTGTTAGGCTGTTGTTAAGCCAACACAATAGCTCTGTCTCCACATTGGCTGTTGCTATGTGAGGATAACGGCATCCATTTCACAGTGTGGCTGTCATTCTCTTCTATTTATTCCTTCAACAAAGTCAGACCCATGTGTTCAGTGTTTCATTGTCAGCAGTGACTCACTTTGTTTTCAGATGGGTTTATTCAGTTTGACGTTTGAGTTTAGAATTTAAAAAAAATCATAAATCAGTTCATGTCAACCCCCCGAGTTTAATGTAATCTGAACACTGCAGCAACTAAACTCTACACTTCACTCTGCCCTTGTGCCTGCACAGACTGAGCTTCATTCACTGTAAACACAAAGTTGCAGCAAATTTGACTCGAGCACATGAAATTCTTTTTTCCTATCGACCCTGCGTTTGCCCTTTCTGTTCCCCACCCTCAGCTCTCCACTAAGTCAAACTTTTCTCAGCTCTGCATAGTCAGAGTTATCGCTGCAGAATCTGACTTTAGCCTTGCCGAGCTAGGCCTGGCCTTGCTGTAATTCATCCCTACGGGTTTTCTCCCTGACTGGAGATGATGAGAAAAGTGCTGGAGTAAGAAGTTTACCTCTAACCTTTGCTCGGTCAGGACTACAGCAAGCAGACAGACAGACAGACCACTGCAACAAGGATTGTTACATAACAATGCAAGGGAAAGGGGGTGAGAGTAAAGTTTTCCCATGGGGCACCTGCAGTCTTCTAACTTCCTCTGACACACTGCTTATGCCTCTGTCCTTTATCTGTCTTAGTCACACAAACACACTCACACACTTATCTCTGCACCACTGAATCCCCACTTAACATCGACACTGTAAAACACTATATTTAAATTTACATTGAGGTTGAATTTGTGCCTCCCGCTTATGAAAGAGATCAAAATACACTATTGTTAAGTCAATCCGAAATAATTCTCAAACTTATACTGAGACATGTAACTTTCCATGACAGGTTACGGGGTTTCATATACAACACATGTTGTTCAGTCGAGGAATTGCTACGACTCAAACAATGGGACAGAAGAAGAAATCAGAAGAGGACAGAGAACAATCCAGAGAGCGATAAAGGAGAGGAGTGTGGAGAAAGAAACAGGAGACATAAAACATGAGGTGAGGACTTGATTGAATTATTGATCTGGCTGGGAAAGGAGAGATGGATGGATAGTGTCATGTTTAGATGAGAAACTGTAAGGGTGTTCGAGAGCCAAGAAATCGGATGAAGGGAGAGTAGAAGGACAGATAAAGAGCGCTGCAGGGGGATGAGAGTTTAGGGAGTTTCCCTTTAGGTGCAGGGACGTCTTAAGTTTCACAACAAAGCGCTCGGAGAAGAGGAGACCAAGGCAACGCTGAAAACAAAAGGCAGAGATCATTGACCTCTGGCGGCCTTTGCAAATGCCTCAAATCCCCCATCATATCTGCATACAGGCAGGTTTTTTATTTAGATATAATCACCAAACCTGTTCCAGATCCAGCTCACCCTAGCCTCCACTAAATGCCTATGGACCAAGAGGCATAAAAGACACAAATTACATTAGTGGTTGTGGCTGAAGTGTTAGGAACGGAAACTAAAAAAATCTAGGATCTGGAAGAAAAAGAGTAACGTTCTCCGTGTAATCATCAACACTGAGCTACTAATGAGTCATCCGATACGCTCTGCAAAAAAGCTGTGGTTGCTATGTTGATGTAATTTCTTGTACTGCAGAAATTGTACATTTTAAATTACTCCTGCCCACCAGCTTTTTTTGTGCAGATGTGGGAGTTTTTGGAAGTCACCTGTACTTTGTTTTGAGTAACTGTTGTGTTTTAATCACTCAACTCAAAGTTTTAATCCTGACAGCTATAGTAAATTGTCCAAAGCCACAGGTGTTGTGCCAGTGTCAACAGTTTCTTGACGTGTGAAATCGCTATCAGAGGTTCTGATCTGTTGAGGTGGCAGCTGTGCTCTGACGCCAACCATGCCTCGCAGCACGTATGGCTACACGGCTGTCGTACAGCTTTCCTCTGAGCCTTGCACCATCAGGTGAGTGAAGGAAAAGCCAGCTTAGCCTTTAAATCTACTTATGTTTACGCACAAAATAACTGTAAATCATGTATGCTGTCTGTCTGCTGCAGTGGAGTGAAACTGATACACAGACCCCTTAGATAAATCATGGAGTGGTGGGTAATACCTGGTGAGAACAGTATGTAAGTGGGGCAGAAAAAAAAGTCTATTTGTATATACTGTCCAGTGGACCGGACAGTGACCTAAGTGTAATGTATTATTTATTTAACTTGGTGAACTTTCATGTAACAAATGCATATGTTTGAAACAGTGTATTTCCCAAAATTTCTTGCATGAGGCAATCAAGTGAACACAATAGCAAGTTTGCAATATTTGCTGAACTCTTTCTGACTCACATTTTGAGTTTGTGCAACTGTAAATTAATCCAAGCACCTCATGACAGGCACAGTTTATCAAAATGTCTCATGATTTACGTGGAAATGTACCAGGAAGCCCACACGTCATTGTGGGTCCTGATCCACAGTTTAAAAAAAGCTGCATTGAGCAATGCTACAGTAGATAATATTCCCCCTGTGACCTTAGGGTTTCACCTGCAATACAAGCCTGAGAACCAGTTAGGTACAGTACATCGTGTGCAACAGATACATAAAGGAAACATGGGTGTACTTCTTACATTGTGCGCACTGCAGTTTACTGCACAGAAAAAGAGGAAGAGAGACATGATCTGTTCAGATCAAACCAGTTAGCACTGCTACACATGAGTTGTCACTTTATAAGAATCAATCTCTAAACTCAAAAGAAAAACTGATTTCTATTTGGGTCAAAGGCTGAAGGTCTATGAAGAGTCCTCCGGGACATTACGACTATACACTGTTACAAAAGACAGGAATAAAGAGCACTCATATTACTCTCAGACTGTGCAAACCACAGGGAACGGGTGTGGCAACTCAACACTTGTTTCTCTGCTTTATCCCTCTGTGTCTGTCTTTTTTCTCTCTCTAAACTCTAGTTTTCCATTTACTGATATCTACTTCTGTTACGATTAATACCCCCCCACATCCTTCTGTCTCTCTTTCTTCTCCTCTCCTCTGTCTCTCTTCATACTTCTTTCTGTGTTTACTCATGTCAGTTTCTCTCTGACATCAGTCAGACAAGTGAGTTGATGGGAATGCTTTTTTTACCCCTTTTCAAATAGGAAAATTACAAGAATAACAAAGCATGCTTAGAACAACACAGCATGCGTGACATGTAACGACCTCTGTGAGGTCAAAGTTCAAAAAGATAAAAGGCCTACCATGTAGGATTGCGTGCAGTCACATCACAGACATACATGGACTGTGGCTGCACACAAAGACACTACTCTTTGGGCTTGGCTTGGCTTTGTCCTGACTACACATCACTTGACCACATCGTGTGCATGCTTGTGTGCTAATTTGGCATTTTTATGCACGAGTGTGACAAAAACCTGGACATAAAATGCTAGTTCCAATAATCACTCTTCCTGCTACCTTTAAAACTTTTTCCTTGTTCCTTTCATTTTCTTTCTTTACTCTCTTTTGTGTTGTTTCTGCCACCGTATCCCTCTCACCTTCTTTCTGGGGTGTGGGGGTCTCTTCATCCCCTCCTTCCTTCTCAGCTGTGCAGCGGTATCCCTTCTTCTTCAGGATGTTGCAGATGAGGATACCCAACAGGCCCATCACACAGAAGATGGGCACCAAAGCAAAAACAGCGTACTCTGCTGTCTTCTCCTCAGCGCTGCGAACCACCGTGCCATTAATTGGTCCTCCAGCACCAGCGGAGGGACCTTTACCCACTGTGCGAACTGTTCTGACATGCAAAGCGTCTGAGAGAGAGGAAAGGAAAAAAGAGATAAGAGAGAGGCAGGTGGTAGAGCTGATTACAAGACTAAACTGAATAATGAATTTGCAGCATGTGAATGCAAAAACATTTTCAAGAAAGACAGGCACACGCTGCTGGAGCATGCTTACTTTTCACACAGGAACTCTGGGTGGAAACTTCCCCTGTGGCAGTGGACTGAAACCTGCAAATGGAAAAAGAAAGAGGAGAAAACAGCATAATTAGAGACATGGATGAGAAGGGGAAAAAAAAGTGAGGAACTGTTTTACAATGAAAGAATGAATCAGCGGTTTTAGCCTGTGGCATGTTATGTTCAATGGTGCTCAATGTTGCCTGCCCATTGTGGGGAATGACGTACTGTATGTGTGTGTGTGAGCGCGCGGGTATTTTCTTGTTTTCTCGACCCAGAGAAAATGAAAGGACTTCATTTAGACCAAATAAATGTTTATGAGGTACATGTTGGAGCGAATCCCTTTGAATGTCAGGCCTACAGTTGGATTGAGCGGTCAGTGGATTAACAAGCAGACAGGTAGGCCGCCAAAGAGACATACTGCCAGTTCTTACCCAGGCAGACAGTCCCCACAGATGGCATCTGAGGTCGCAGTGCCAGGGGTTGCAACAATTCGGCGGAGGATCTTGCAGGAGGCATGTGGACGGCAAAGTTCAGAGTCGAATGCATCTGAAAAGCTTCCAGTTGAGCACATTTGGCATCGCACTTCCTCTGTTCGACTTTGGATCTGTCCACAAGCCTGGAAAGACAGACAACAATTCTAAACTCAAGCAGAAGAGGCTGCAAAAGTACAAAATGAAGCATCTGTCTGTCAGATTTTAATTATAAGTCCTGTCTCTCTGTTGACTGAAATCAAAACAATAAAACCATCTTTATACTTTCACAGAAAACATAGAGTGTTCAACAAAGGTAAGTACAAACACAAAGTCTTAGTGTATCAGTAAGCGCATGTTATCTACTACAACTTCATAAATATAACCTGCAACAAAAGAGAAACATGACACACCTTGACAAAAATCCCCCTTGGGTTATGAAGTTATGTCATAAATGTTTGAGATAATTTAAACTTGATTTATGGAAGCAAACAACTTGATTCATGTTGACTGTGGTGACCACACACATAAATTACGAGGGAAGAAAGGAGATGCATTCAGTGTGCGATTCAAAAATAAACTCTGGATCTAGTTAGCTGGAGGATAATTAAAAAACATGGGGTGAAAGTTTGTAGTGTCTAAAGAGACAATAATGCATTAGAAAGAACACAAAAGCATTCAGTTGCAACAGATATTGTAATAGCAGAGAAATAATGCACTAAAAATGTCGTTCAAAGTGGGTTCAATTGTTATTAATCAATTTTGTTTCAGTTTATAGTCTCACCTTGGAGGGCTCCTCGCCTGCAGGGCATTGCAGACACACACACCCTTCCACCCACCGACACTGCACTGCTGCAGTCCCACCACAGCCAAACACCTGGAAGAGACACACAGACACACACACACACACACACACACACACACACACACACACACACACACACACACACACACGAGTTCACGAGTCAGTGGTTTGAAGTTAAATTGAGTGAGTACACACACATTGTAAATCATGATTTGCATGCCACCAGGTCTTTCGGGAAACCAAATTGAATCTTAGAGTAACACACCTACATCCTTAAAAGTGCATAACACTCACGCGAACCAAAAAACACAACACACACATGCACATATTTACCGTGAGAAGGACAAGAGCTGAGCAGCAAAGGTGGTTCCTCATCTTCTTCAATGTATTCTTCTATGTTCATATGATCTGAGGCAGACAGGAGAATAGGGGTTAACCACATTTTAAAACATGATCACATCCATATATACAGCACAGTATATAGATGTGCAATGTACACTGATATTCAAGGCTGTCACTTCAACCAAAGCAATTCCTTTGTGAACACAATCTGTTGACCTTTCAAGTGCCAAGAAATAGATGACCATGACATATCACGGCACAACATAACTCAATATAACTAGTAACATCACAACACATGCCAGCCTTCTCCTTCTGTCACACACACAAACAACCACATACAGTCCACAAGCATGCACACTCACACAAAACCACACATGGCAAAAAAAAACACCTGAGTCATTTTTGTGACTATATCCTGAGCGTAGTTGCTCTCGTGACAGGGAGGTAAGGAGCAGTTGCATATGCCGTAAATAACATTTACCATCAATCACAACCTTTTTATAGATGGGAGTGAATGGACCAGGGCTTGTCTGTGGCTATTTCAGGCCTGTAGGTACTCACATGCATATTTAAGGCAATTATCACGCTGCAACATATTCATTTGCCAACATGTGCTGACTTTCTCAACACTTGATATTAGCAACCTCTGGGAGTATTTCCTGAACTTTAGGTGAGTCACAAAAATAAAATCTTCTTAAGGGTTTATTGTGCAGAACAAGTGTTTTTTGGAAAATTGGAAATAAGATGAAAGCTAAAGCTCAACCAGGACAGTCTTCTAGTCGACACTCATGGGTCATGAGTTTAAATTTATATACCACAAGCTACTATACTGTGTTACAGCAAAACAATGCTGTCATGTCTAAAGTTAGGTATTTCAGTCGGAAAATATTTGACAGCAGCTTTTCTTAAAAATAGCTTAACTCCCTGCAGTGGACACACTTACATATTCACATGCACATAGAACAAGTGGCTGGTAAGGCATTTATTACTGCTACTACTGATGCTTCTACTTAATTTCATGGACTGAGATGAAATCAAACCTGAGGTCACTTATCAATTAGAAATTCTTGTTTTCATCATCGTCTTTTTTATAGCATCATGACACTTACACCAGCTATTTAGTAGGATATGCCAGGATTGTGTTGTATAAGCACAATGACTATGATATAGTGTCAGATTAAAAAGGCAGCCGAACAGAGTAGAGCAGAGCAGTCAGCATGGTGCCTGCTGAAACGTGCCAAAGATTACGGTTCAATTTCTTGCAAATGTGCTGAAGTTTAAAGAAATTACGCAAAATTTAGTTGGTCAGAAACCTATCCAGAATTCGATTAAAAAAAAAAAAAAAAAAGTATTTTCAAACTAATGTAAAAATAATTTGCTGTAATCACTACTTCCTCTGTGTGCACTACAACACTAACTGATAAGATAAAACAAGAGCTGAGCGCTGCGCTCTCAGTTGTGGCCACAGTTACAGGACTGTGAATTCCCACAGGACTAGACTATTTGTGGTGGAGATTTTACTTTCAAAATTATAGACATGACACATTCACACAACATGAAAATCATTAGCACAACTTCAGTCCTTAAGAATATAGTGAATATGAATATTTGACTATGCCAAAGATTGGCAGCGCAATGTTAAGAATGTTTTTGGTTTGTTGCCTACTTTTCTCCCAGGAGGAGAGAATCTAACTGACTGGTCGGTCCTAAATAGGTTTGTAAAACAGCCACTGACCGAAGCAAAAACACAAGAGGCATTTGAGATATGTCAGACAAAAAAGAATAGAGGGAAAAGAGTGACAGAATAAGGATGACAAGAAGGACAGAGGAAAAGACAGGAAACTGATGGAATGCATTGGCGTAGTCAGTCACAGCAGACCAAAAGTAGAAAGTAGAGAAGGAAAGAGCAGGAAGGGGGGGGGGGGGGGGTGGAGAAAGACAAAGAGAGTATATGAGACAGAAAAAGAAAATGTGTTAGAGGAGAAAGATAGAGCAGCATACTTACCCCAGACTTGCAGCTGAATGACACAGTTGCCGTGGCAACTCAGCGAGGATGCTGTGTGTACTGCTACAAATGCTGAGTCAGCACCAAAGTCAAAATATATACTCTAACTTTCCTACGGATGCTCAAAAGCAACACAAACACCTGATCAAAGTTGTTCCAACTTTGACAAGCAGCTCAAAGGTAACTACAGAGCTTCACAACGAGAGATTTAAGATTAAAAGTCTTGATTCGACAAAGATCTGCGGGGTAACACTAAAACTCAACTAGAAAAGTTACACAAAAGTGACACAAAGGTCAGACACACATAAATTTGTGTAGCTGAATGAAGAATTCAGTGTACCTGCCTGTGTCTTATACTGTCACTCTGACCACAGACACACCCCTGACGTCCTAAGGACATGCCCCTTCTATCACAGCTAAAATAGTGAGTGTGTGTGTGTGCGCATGTGTGTTGTGTATGTGCATGAGGGGTGAGGCTGCTTTAATGTAGCACTTCACCTTTGACCACACAGCAAAACATAATGTTTTAAACATTAGTTAGCAAGCAAATCTACCCTTCTCCCCTCAAACCCATTCATTCTCTCACTATGTGTGGTCAGCACACACGTGCACACACACAAACACTCATAGCACATCTATACAGCATATTCCTTATTTTATATGTGCACTTAGTGTGTGGTGATAGTCTTGTGCACATTATCTATGCATTCATTTATAAAAGGTACTTGTTCATGCTGGTGACACACACACACACACACACACACACACACACACACACACACATCACATCACATTTAGCCAACACTAAGCTGTGCCTTATACAAACAAGAAAATAAAAAATGTAACGAGTTTATGATTTTGGTCCGGCGAGGCCCTCATGCCAATGACAGGCTTCTGGAGCATAATTTCAGGGAGGAAGTGAAAGATAAAGCGAGGACAGAAAAACCACTAGTTTGAAAAAACAACACAAGGCTGAAGGGCAAGGGCTGATCAAGCTATAGAGGAAAAAAAGAGAGAAGAGAGAGAGAGGGGGGAGAGATGGAAAGAGGAGGAAGTGGCAGGGAGATTGCTAAAACTTCAGCCTGATAGCATGATATATATAGAGGCATTTGTTAAAATGCCATACAGACCAGAGCAAGAGGCTAATTACAAGTCACACATGCGCACATACATATACACTTATACACACATGCAAACATGCACCCTCGCACACACAACACACGACACACACAGCTGAAAAAAAGGAAAAGAAAAAAAACGATCAATAAAACGACAATGATAGAGAGAGCAAAACAAAAATGGGACCTACAATTAAGTACCTCTTTTTTTGGAAAGTGTCAAGTAACAAATTGGACCGGGTTAGAGGGGTTGAGGAATGTTTGCTTTCCACAGAGAACCTCAGTTGACCTCCAGAAGTGCAGCCACTGAAACAACTGCACTTAAACTCCAGCAGAGCCAGAGCAAGGTGAAAGTGATTTATGGTGTGATGGATGCATTTGATCCAAAATCATCGTTATACAGCAGCACAATGTTTTTCAAAGGCTGGATTAAGAACCTTTTAGCTATTTATAAAGTTATGCTATTGCTGCATACCTAACGTTAGCATTAACAGTTTTTATTAACTGTTTACTTAAAGGTCTTGCGAAGAGCTTCAGCCATCGTTGTATTTACCATACAAGAGGTTATTTAACGCCCGCAGAGCAGCACTACTTCTTCAGGGCAGACCGGATGCTACAGTGACTCGATATCGGAAAGTGACGAGACGGTCCAGCCAGGCTGGAGCTAGCATGGTAACCAGTAAAAGAAAAGGAGTGATAGAAATAAAAGCAAAGGAAGAGGGTTACTTTCCACTTCTGAAGACAGCTCTTGGCAAGAAAAGGAATGAAGTTTGAAGTTTGAAGCTGCTTGCAGCTTGCGACAGCAAACAGCTGTTAATGCTAATGTTGGCAGGGTCGCAATAGCAAAACTTACAAATAGCTAGATTACATTTTGCAACAGTAAAACTACAGTTAATGCAAAGATATTTGGTTAAAGCAAATTCATTCAGGAATTGCAACAGCAGACTTTGTCAGCTATTTCACCTGCTGGCTTTGCATAGGTAAAGAGCAGCAAGTGTATGCCACAGCAACACATTCAGTGAAAATGTGCCTGAAGTACAAAATGCATGAGAGAGCATGTCCAAAAAGGATGTTCAAAATGTGCCCGCTGTCTAACCACTACTTTCAGAAGTCAGCCATTCACAGCCAGGCAGTCCAAGCCAACGCTGTCTGCATGTGATGCATTTGCATTTAAATCCAGTTAGGCTGAGGTTTTCCCCACAAACCCACTACAGAAGTGACCACCACACGTGGGACTTCCACTGGACCTACAGGCACATGACCGCCCCTGTATCCACGCTCGGGCCTTCTCCGCCTCATGTACCCATCCTTTTCTTCTTTTCCTGTATCCATCACAGTCATTACTCAAGACTCGCACCAATGCAGAATCTGCTATGATCCTTTCGTCATGAACATTACATTTCTCCAAGGTCAGTGTAGTTTGCGGTAGATAACTGCAGTGTATCCAATACTGCCCACATACTGACAGTTGTTGTATAAAGTGGAAGTAAAGGAGAAATGAAATCACCCTTAAGTTGGACACATATGTGAGCTGTATTGAGGGACCATTAATTAGACATAGCTACATTCTAAGGGGTCACAAGCCAGAAAATGTGGGAACAACTGACTTAAAACATCTTTCAATACAGCCTTTACATAATCCCACTCAAGGAAATTAGTTATGTTGTCTGCTTGATGTAATTTTTATGTCTCTCTTCCTTGAACTCTTCCTTGTGCCCTTTCCATCTTCGCTTGCCTGTCTGAGCTGTCGCATTTTATTGCATTTGATTGTTTGCATGTTTCCTTTTTTATAACCCAGCTTGCTTCACGCCTGCTGCACTTTAGCTTGAAGGCTGCAGTAAGATGGTGAGTGAGTTGAAGGAGCAAGAAAGAAAGAGAGAGAAAAAGAAAGAAAAAGAGGGAGGGAAGATGAGAGTGGAGGATATAGCAGGACATTAACACCT